ATCCAACATTTCATGGCCCAAAATAAATTCATAATTTATGTCCTGTATCTCTAATTCAAATTGCCTCCTATCAAAGTGCTTTAAATCTCTATAAGATATAACCTTATCATCTATTTTGGGAGCTTTGATGCTAATTGAAGAGTACACAAGTCTATGATCAGTTAGGTTAAGCATGCCCAATGTTCCTGACTCAATAACACTGACACCCTTATTGACACTAATAATATCAATTAGAGTTGCACTATTTCTACTTATTCTAGTGGGTTCAGAGATGACTCGTTTCAAATTATAAATTTCTAACACTGATTCCATATAATCAGAGTCAGCAGTTTTAGTAAGAAAGTTTATATTTAAATCACCCATTAAAATTGTGTAGTCATATGATGAGGACAAGCTAGATAAAATATTCTCTAAACTAGATAGGTAGTTATAGTTGACCAGTGGGGGTTTATACAAAGTACCAACTAAAAAAGACTTATTTTTATAGCTGATATCCACCCATAGTTGTTCAGCTTTATTGTCACAGTTTTTAGCACCATTTTCATTCCCTTTTAGCATGACACATTTTAAACAGTCAGCAACATACAAACATACACCACCACCCCTCGACTCTCTGTCTGCCCTATATAAGTTATACTTAGGGATACTGACCAGATTGTCAGGGTATGTTGATGTTAGCCATGATTCAGTTACACCAAATAAATGAAATTTTTCATGCTGTAACATTGCAGACACATCAGAGAAAGAAGGAGTAAGCGATCTTATGTTTACATGACCTACATATAAGTTATCATTTGTATCTGTATTTTTTGACACTTTTTGAGTTCCATTATCTATATTATTTATAAAAAATCACCACCTCTATTTAGACCTAGTTCACCACTCATACTGTCTAAAAAGTCCCTATGTTTATTAAAATTAAACCTACTAACCCCCACATACTTTGGCCAAAACCCACTATCATACATATAGTCTTTTTTGTCCATTGGGCCTACCACCAAGAAGTTTTTTAATCTATGTTCTTCTGTGGGAATCTCCGTTACAAACAAGGTAATATTTCCAAACCGATTCTTTTTACGAATATAATTAGTGATAACTTCCTCTGTAGCAGCGCGTTTCACCCTGTTGATGTAGAGCCAAACTCTTCGATCTCCACCTTCAAAGTGTTGATCATTTTCACCTGTGCCTAGATTTTTCTTTTTCCTATTCCTTCTTTGGACTGGAATAAACTCATTATCAGAGCTTTCATCACTCTGGTTTCCACTTCCATTACTCTTTGATACTTTTAGTGATCTTTTAAATTGCCCGCTCTTGCCTCTTACAGTATTGCCATTATTTGAAACTCCTTGCCTTTGCTTCGTTGACATCGATCCCGTAGCCACATCTCTATATGATGACACGGCACTATTTGAAGGTCCCTGGCCTCGATTCGTCGATATCAATCCCGACGCCACATCTCTATATGATGACACCTGTTTGACATCGGCGACAGCGGGGATGTCGGATTCTGTCGATCCACCTTTGTTTTTATTTACATTTCTTACAGTTTCCAGATTTATAATTTTCTCACACAGTAATCCGTTATTTTGTTTCAAAACGTTGTTTTTGTCTGACATTTCCTCAAGCATTTTCTTAAGGTGCCCAATTTCTAAGGACATCTTCTCCATTTCCACTTTCTTAACGGCATTTGTACTTACGTTTCCCTCGTCTCCAGCTGTCAAATTAACTGGCTCCGAGCAACACACAATTTTTGTTTTATCTATTACTTTGATAATACTACCCATCTGCTTCACACAACTATTATGATAGATTGAATAACAGTTTATACATACGCATACACTGCAACTTTTTTTAGCACAGCATTTAAACCCCGTATTTTTCGCATCGATTGCACTGGCATCAGAATCGCCGTCAGACTCGCCCGCCATCTTTTAGGGTAATTCTGTTGTTATACCGAACACAGAGTAGAAAGCAGAGCGTGTGAACTCGTAGAAATAACTATACGAACTGACTCAACATCAAGACAAAGAATTACAAACCCTTTCTTAAGTAAACGATTCCTCATCTGTTTATCTTACATATAAAAACTATTATAAACACATTTAGTCATCCATAGCTGCGATATAAATTAGCAAAGTATAGACTAATAATGAAAGTTTAATTTATTAATTTTTGTTCCACTGATATGAATATCAGTTTATCCAACAAATAAACGTACAAATAAATGTGATTGTTGCGAATGTTTTTATTTACATAAGTGTTTTTTTTTACTGTATAACTTTGGTAATTTTAAGGTTTTATTAGTCTGAATATTGTGTAGTCTGAATCAAATTATATCTTGCTCCGTTACCAGCGTTTAGCTGTTTAGGAGCGAATAACAAAGTACATAGCTTAACTTGTGCCGAGTCAGGTTAGTATCGTAATTGAACAACATATTGGTGAATAGATGGCTGCAGAGGTCTACCCATAAGTGCTGCAACCATTCACTCATTTGTACTTGAATAATTTGTCACATTATGTTACTAGTTTGGTAAAGTAACACCACTAATTCCTGTTAAAAGGCAAATTGACAAAAAGTGGATAATCTTACAAATTCTGACTTCATATAATAAAATTATTGTTCAAGTACAGGGTGTTTTTTTATGTATTGATACCCCACCTTCACTTTTACAAGTAAATGAAAGGTGTAAATAGAAAAGTTGTATGTACAGTATTGGATAAATTTTTAGAATCCATGGTCGGAAACAAAAATTGAATGTCAGAAATATGAAACTTTGCATGTTTTCAGTTTTTTTTCAAATGGAATGTCCTATATTCTTGAAGAGCACAATTTCCCGATTTCAAAACTATATAGTTTGTCTATATTTGGTTGAGCCGTCTCCAACATATTTGGTTCTAAAAAGTTTTAAAATACTATCAGAGAAACCAAGTACCTCAAATTTTACATGCAGCTTTCACCTGTACAAGTAGAATGGTTCACAAAATCAGTATATATAGTAGGATAGTATTTTTACAATTTTTGGAGCCGAATATATGAGAGATCAAATTTAAAAAAACTATACAGGGTGGTCCTCCGGGAATGACATCGATTGCTTATGGGAAAACTGTGAAAGGTAAAAATTTGAAAATTTGGCAACATAGCAATTTCGATGGGGGACATCCAGGTAAAATATTTTCAAGATGGCGGCATTTCCGGTCATACCGGAAGTTGATACCAACTCGGTTATTTTAAATAGAACACCCCGTATATTAATGTATTTTTGGATTCTACATAAAATTCTGAGCAGATTTCATGTAATATACCCTATACCTAAGTTCAACTGCTTTGGAAATATTGACAGTTGAAAATTGACTTTTTGCAACTTTGACAGGCTGTAAAACCTGAACGGTTAATTTTAGAGGAAACCCGATTTTACATTCCTATCTTAGATTTTTATAAACTATCATTTGACACCAACTTTGAATTAAATCCATGATTAAAAATTTCAGTTAAATTCAATCTCCGGTCAAGTTCAAAGTTGGTGTCAAATGATAGTTTATGAAAATCTAAGATAGGAATGTCAAATTGGTTTTCCTCTAAAATTAACCAATTAAGTTTTACAGTATGTCAAAGTTGCAAAAAATCAATTTTCAACTGTCAATATTTCCAAAACAGTTGAACTTAGGTATAGGGTATATTGCATGAAATCTGCTCAGAATTTTATGTAGAATCCAAAAATACATTAATATACGGGGTGTTCTATTTGAAATAACCGAGTTGGTATCAACTTCCGGTATGACCGGAAATGCCGCCATCTTGAAAATATTTTACCTGGATGTCCCCCATCGACATTGCTATGTTGCCAAATTTTCAAATTTTTACCTTTCACAGTTTTCCCATAAGCAATCGATGTCATTCTCGGAGGACCACCCGGTATATATATTTTTGGAATCGAGGCATTGTGCTCTTCAAGAATATAGAATGTATTGTATTGTATTCACACCTTGCATCTACTTGTAAAGGTAAAGGCTGTAGGTGGGGTGTCAAAGTATAAAAAAAACACCCTGTACATTGGTATGTACCCTTTGAAAAAAATCGAAATTTTTAATTTCCATGTTCTCCAAGTTTTCTAATCGATAGACCGGGTCTAAATTAGTCAAAAAACAACCCAACATCATCCTCAAATGACTATTTCAAACAGAAAAAGAAATCAAAAAAGAAAATCTCAAAACATTCTGACAAGGTTAAGAGAAATTGGCAATATTTTATTTGAAATTCAAGCAAATTAAAATAAATTATATACCACTAAAAAAGCACTAAATTCTCTATAAATCCAAAAAAATTGAGTTTGATACCTCAAATACTTTCTGAGCAATTGAGCTGCAAAATTTAATATTTTCAATTAACCAAAAATTCTCAAACTGTTGCTACAACCGTACAACACTTGTTAGGGTAAAATGAAAATTTAACATATAAAAATATAAGGTTATACCTTATTGGAAAGTGAATATGTACCACATATATTACCACAATTTGATTTCTAGTAAAACTATGTGAGGAATTTTTTTCTAGGTACGTACGCGTATTTGGCTAGCGGATCGACTCTTGCCCTCTCCTGTCACCCTAATTGCGGAAAACTGGCCTCTGATTACGCAAATCTTATCGTTGAACCCTTAAAAAGGGCAATTTATAATTGAAATATCAAAATAATTCGAATCTATATTATTTATCGGAATCAATACGCATTTATTTTAGTTTAGGTTTTTCGTTATTTTAAAACATTAACAATTATATTATATTTATAGAGGTGTTTGTTGCTTTTACTAATAATAATAAAAAAAGGCTTTTATACAATAATTGTTTTACTCTCTTAAACCCCTCAATAGCAGAATTGGTGGTTGAGAGATGGGCAAGGGTCGAAAAATTCCAGGTTTAAAATTAACCAAATCATACCAATCATAATATTAACCATATTCACCACCACTTCTGTGCCAAATAAACAAAAATAAAAACATTTTAGGTTTTTGGTTACTCTCGGACCTCTACAACTATCCTTTTTTTGCAACAAACCAAGACGATTCTTTAGGCAAAGATCAAATAGAAACTATTGTGCAACAAATACAACCAACTAATACAAAAGAAATTGTAGATAAACTCATCAGCGATCCAAATTTCATTAAAATAATCAACAACAACTATCAACAATCAAACCAGGATTTACTAAAAGAAATCGAAAATATGAAGCAACTAATTACACTCAACAACCAACTAAGACAAGATGAATACAGCAAACTATTGCTGGACATGAAAAAATGTTGCAAACGTCCAATAATCAACATAGAAGGTCACCTAACAAAATTATTAAACGACCCACAATTTCTGAAAAACCAAAAAGGCCTCAACGAATACCTACAAGCATTATTTATAGCCAAACAACATTTAGAATACCATTTGGGCAACCTAACTCAAACAATAGACTTAAAAATAGCAAACCTACAACAATCCGATAGTGAAATAATAATGGACAAAGTTGCAGCCAATTTATTAAAACCCAATCAAAATGTTGATATACAAAAACTCATCAAACAAGCATTGATAATCTATGACGCTGACCGTACAGGCCTAGTAGATTATGCCATGGAAAACATGGGAGGCCAAATAGTTACAACACGTTGTACAGAATTATACCATCATGGTACAGCTGTAGTTTCAGTATTAGGCATACCATTATGGCACAGATCCAACTCCCCTAGGACCGTTATAACCCCTACAATGGCTCCTGGGGATTGTTGGGCCTTTCAAAACTTCCCCGGCTTTGTAGTTGTAAAACTATCTGGAACAGTAAAAATAGATGCTTTTTCAATGGAGCATATTTCTAGGCTTTTGGTGCCTGAGGAAAAAATGGACTCTGCACCCAAGGAGTTTGAAGTTTACGGTTTGCAAGAGGAAAACGACAAAAACCCTGTTTTATTAGGGAAATATTTGTACGATTACCATGGGGATTCTTTGCAGTTTTTCACTGTGGAAAAGGACAATCAAGTTTTTGATTTAATTGAAATCAGGATTGTTTCAAATCATGGCAATCCTAATTATACTTGTTTATATAGGTTTAGGGTGCACGGGAAATTATTGCATCAAAATAGTAGTAGATGATTTGCAGTTTTTTAAGTTTTTACATAATAGGATTTTCAGGCTTGAAATTAGGATTATTTTGTACTTAAGTAGTTTTTAAGGGCACGGCACAATTAATTAGGGTTGTGATAGTTTAGGTACTTTTTATTATTAATTTGTAAGAGAAAAAATGCTAGTCTTACTAACCCAAAACCACCTCCTGTTTGTCTGTATATAATAGTAGTGTTTTTGCTTTTTGCCAGAGTACAAACTAAGCGCACAATTAATTAAGTAGTAATTTTTAATTATATAGATTCTATTTATTTTATTAGTTTTGAAGAGATCTATTATGTGCCTTATACATTTACCATAATTCAACTTTATCAACGATTTGTTTCAGATCTCTTATTTATTATTTTTATTATTAATTAAAATGTTTCTATAAATTATGTTATTGGATTTTATTTAAAATACCTTCCACTCTTTTGTGTAGGTAATTGTTTTGTAGAACATTTTCGGAGGAAACGCATTGGAATTCTAGCAAATTCCTGCTTATTGTTAATGCAGCTGCGAAGTAATGGGCCAAAATGTGTGTCAATGTTCACAAAACTCAAATGTTATTTTGATGTTTGACAAAAAGTCATTAGAAATATGGCCTTTGTATGTATATTCGGGTTTTATCAAATGATGACCCTATGTCTACAATAAGTGCAATAACATAGCGGATACCGCGGAAATTACTGCTTCCATTTATGTACGAATATGTGCCGTCAATAGGTCTGTTCTCACAAAATTCAAAAGTCTCCTAGTCTCTATTCTCTGAAAGTTTGCAATTTATCAGAAAGCATCGCCCATATAAAGTCTGTTTTTTTTTTTAAAGATAAAAGTCAAAATGACATTATGTTGGCAGTACAATGTAAAATTGTTAATGCTTTCAAATTTTTATGTAGAAAAGGCTTGTGTTGCCAACATAGTTACTAAATTTTTGACTTGGGGGATTATCTTTAAAAAAAAAACAGATTTTACATTTTTAATTGCCGTCGTTCCAAAATAAATCGGTAACTTATCTGGGCGATTATTTCTGACTGTTTGCAAACTGTTCATGAATGTGACTTCTACATTTTTATGAAGTGAGAAAAAATAGAAGTGTGTTACATCTGATAACTTTTAAACTTAACATAACTCGAAAATGACTCGTTGGATTTTTTTATGCCAATGATAATTTTGGTTTAGAATGTCCAAGAGCAGAACATATTAACATATCCAAACTTCAGACATTTTCACTAAACCAGTGTAATTCATGAATGATTCGTTCGAAAAGAACGAATCACTACTGAATCAGATGAATTGATTCTTTTCTTTGAGACAACCTCTGAACTAATTCACTTTTGAATCACTGCCACTCCGAATAAGTGGGACTGTTGCTGTGCGCCTCGCCGCTACGAAACTAACGAATGAACGAAACGAATTGAACGAGAAGAAAACAAAAGTAAATGTAAAATTAATGTTTATATGATTGAATCAGACAGAGAAATAATCAAGACAAGAATTACATGCTTATAGTTATAAATGGGTAGTTCACTGATTGTTCGTGCGTTGTTCGTTATTTCCAAAGCTCATAGTTGGTTCATAAGCGAATCATTCAAGAATCACTCGTAATAAACGAATCATTTCTGTTTGGCGAATGACTCAAATGAATTAATTCAGCAAAAAGATTCAAAATGCTCAGCGTCATGTAGAATTCTACATATCGATAGGATTCTTTGGCTCGGCCCCAAACGAGCCAAAAATCGTTAACACCACAACAGGATTGCACAATCCCATAAGATATATGTTCAAAAAAATACTGAACATGGAGGAATGCGAGTGACGTCATTCAAAAGTTTGTGTGCTTGAGTGGTTAGCTAATTACGAAGACGAGTTCGTTTGTTCTCTGCTCATCAGCAAGATTATTTCAAAATATTCTCATAAATATTATATTAAAATGTGCATGCATTTCTTTTATCTTTTTTTAGTGCAACAAGAAGGTACATTTATAAAAGGGAGTGAATCCTACGCCTACCGGTAGGTCCTTTGTTATCCAACAATCAGACGCCTACCAGTAGGTTCTTTTTCATCTACCGATTGTGCGCCTACTGGTAGGTCCTTTTTCGTCAATTAATCGAGCGCCTACTGGAAAGTTTGTTATTACTTTAGAATTCGTATGTCCTACCAGTCAGCTAAATACTTTAGTTAAATTTTGTTTTTTTGTAGAATTGACATCAAGAAATTCGTCCACTGAGTAATAATAGGCCTCTATTAGTACCTAACATCTTTCTATCTTGGGCTTTAAACTTGTTGATGTTTGGAATCTGCTCTGCTTCATTCCAGACGGCAACCTATTCAAAATCCTTCTGGCACACACCTTGAAGTTATCTTTACACCTTCGATTGCTCGCTACGCTCGCCAAACCTCAAAGAGAATGTCCTCAGAAATGTTAATCCACCAGAAACGTGAAAAACCTTTATTAAATATAACGGCTTGAAATTTAAATTATTTTTGAGTCTCTGATTGCTCGCTCCGCTCGACAAACTTGAGAGAAAAGATTTTCTTGGAAGCGTGAGTAACCCAAAAACGTGGAAAACCTTTTTTCAACCTTCTTGTAAATCATTTTTGAGTCTCCGATTGCTCGCTCTGCGCTCGCCAAATCTCAAAAAGAAGATCCTTGGATGCGTAAATGCACCAAAAACATGCAAAGTCTTTTTTCAAATATAGTACTTGACCGTGTATCTTATGCTCTAAAATAAAAGATTTACTTTTCCTGATTTCAAAAATATACATATATTGTAGGTATATTGATGACATTTTGGTTGAGCTGGAGCCCTGTTTGACATACTCTATCTTAGCTAATTAATTAGGTACAAGATTTGCATTTTTATAAAAATATCAAAAACTCATGGAAACAATGAAGTTGTTAACGTTGTCCTGTTAATAAATTTGACGTGCCGAAATTTCATTGTTACAATTTTTATTATTATTTCCATATATCAGGTGCCTATTTTTAATTAGTTATAACGGTGTAACAAGATATACAGTGTGTCCCGCTTAAGGACTGACCACCCTTCGAAAATTTTCATTTTTCAACCCATTCAATTAATATTTTTTTTGTCTTATATCTACTCGAATTTGGCTCAATAATTTTATTTCTGCAACCATACTGGTGCACAGGGTGTCCTCATTTACTCTGTGGGGCTTTGTTTTTTTGTGCCGCTTTCAAAGTTAAGCTATCTCGCATGTAGAGTTGAACTAAATGTTTCATTGCATATCTATCTATATCGGATTTAAGATCCTTAAAGGAACTATACTCTTGTCCTAACTCTATTCCAGTACTTATAACTGTGGACATTGTGTTGCAATCGCCTAAAAATTATTATATAATTATTTCTGCATTCCAGGTAGCTGGAAGACTCTGTAGTTATACCGAACCGGATTTAAAAGCGTCGAGGCCTAGGGCAAGGGAGAAAGTGGATGCACTTTTAATCAATAAAAATATTTCCTAAGTCCTGCTAGGGGACTAAACTTTGAAGTTACTCTAGGCCCTGGATTTGTGAAGGCTCCGGCCCCGGCTGCTCCACCATAAATCCGGCTCTGTAGTTATTTCGATGATAGAACTAGCTTAAGTTTATGATTTATCACTTACCTACACTAAAAAACTATGAAAAAAACAAACTTAAAGAAAAATCACAGAGATGCAGCAGGTACTTCTTGTTGTTGTTGTTCTGTCAATGGCTTTGCTACTATGCAATTGCCAGCTCGATTCCTTAGTGTCCACGGGATGTCTGGCTCGAAACCATGTCGTGGCCACTGAACTGTTGAAAATTGAGCTACAATACTATATAGATTATTATTAGCAAACTTTTTGTGATTTTACTGGGTAGTCTGGGTACATGTAGAGCAATTAATAGACATAACAACAGAGGTTCAATGGTAGCACATCAAAACACGAAAACTGGAAGATCTGGAAATAGGGAAACATTAAGTTGAGCATTACAGTTTTATTTTGTTATGATTGAAAAAGTTCATTATGATACAACTTGCTGCTTCATTCATAGAAGACAGTATGGTGTAAATTGTCATGGGAGTACTGAATCCTAACTCACGGAACTCTTTATACATATCAACGCCCTGTATGAAGTTAATAGGACATTCAAATATAATGTGATTCAGGTTCTCTACCTGTCCACACTCACATAAGGGGTCATCTTTTATATTAATTTTATAGAGGTGCTCTCCGGTTAAACAGTGTCCGATGCGCATTCGTATTATGGTGGTAATATGTCTACGATTTTTGTAGGGGAAATCAGCATACCATTTCTTTTGGCAAAATTCTGACTGTACCTTACAGTATTGATAATTTTTATTTTTTGCCGAAATTCTCCACTGATCCTTATACTCAGTGTAGAGTTTTTGTTTAATACTATTATATACATCTTTAATGTCCAACAACATTTGTTTTGGAACGTTTAAAATTCTGCCAATATTAGCAAGTTTGTCCACAGTCTCGTTTTCCTGAATACCCGAATGTCCCGGGATCCAGGCCAGTCTGAAATCGAAACCATTTTCACTAGATGAAAGGATGAGCTTCTTTGTTCTTAGTGTCCAATAGTCGGCTACCGCATTATGGAGATTACTGTTTATTTTCTGAATAGCAGACAGAGAATCCGAGAAGATAATAGCGTTTTTTAAATGTTTTTGAATGGCCGTCCTTACTGCATCATGAATTGCGATGATTTCTGCCTTACAGATACCAATATTGTCTGGTAGTCTGCAAGAAAATCTATGATCTATATGTGGTATGTAAATTCCGTAACCCAACCTGTCATCTTTTTTAGAAGCGTCTGAATAAATAAACAAAAAATTGTTAGAATATTCATTTTTTACCGCTTTCTTAATCTTACAATCAATAGTTTTCAACGGGGACGTTAGAATTTCATATTCTACCTCATAGCAAGGAAAATTAACACCATTATAGACTTTATTCAAGAAAGGCAAAAAATGTTGCAAAGTTAGAACTAAGTATGGTATGTTGTCATTCTCATAAAAATCACGACCATTGATAAGCTGCCTACGACATTCCAGCATTAATTTGACAGTCGGATGATCTCGAATGGCCAACAATTTCATTATAAATTTAATTGACAGCATTTTTCTCCTTTGTTCTGGTTCTACTATTGCCGCTTCAGAAAGGATTGCTAATCTAGGCGATGATCTCATGCACCCCAAACATATTCTCAACCCTTCATAAAATACTTTGTCAATCTTATCAAAATTCTTCAGACTACCTGGTTTAATAAAAATTGCACCAAAATCCAAGTGGGATCTAACCAACGCATGAAAAGCTGTTAACATAGTACAGGGATCTGCTCCCCACCAGACTCTACAAATGGCTTTCAAAACATTCAAAGATT